AAAAAAAAAAAAAATACAACACAGTTTTTATCAAGTCTTTTAACACCCCACCCCCCCCAAAAAAAACCCGGGACATATGAAATAAAAGGGGGACCCAGATTCCTATAAGCCCCCCTGCCCACGGACCCCCACAACCACTGAGCCAGGGTTGTGGGAAGAGGCCCTTGTCTTCATCAACAAGGGGAAAAGGTGCTTTGCCAGGGACATTCTTCCCAAGTTGGGGGCATGTAGCCTGGTATGATGCAGAAGGGGGGGTGCATGCTCACCCCCCCCCCCCTTTCTCTGCCAGGCTGCTGCTCAGATCAAGAGTCTGGTAAGGGATTTTAGGGGGGACCCCACACTTTTTTTTTGGGGGGGGGGTTGGCATTAGGCTTCCCCCACTAAAATTTCTACCAGACCTAAAGCGTCTGGTATGGATTGGGGAGGGGACTCCAGATGCATTCGAATTTTCATTACCAAAAATTTGGATACGCTCGGATTTGTTATTTCTTTCATTTGGAAATTCGGATGAATCTGAATGTCTGAATATGCAGAAATGTGTCTGAATTTCAACGTGGAATGAATAAAAAGCACATGTCCAGGGTATATGGAGAAGTCCTAGAGTGCCCAAAGAAATAGTAATATTTCCATTCTAAAGCTCACATCTATGGACATCTTTATGCCTACATGAGAGATGTGAATGGAGCTAAGGGGATTGTTACCTCAGCTTAGTCCCCTCATATGTATGTGTGATATTTTCTTGCTTAAACTCAAAAATCCCTTAGGGCTTGTTCACACCAAATGCAGACCAGATCTGCAGTGGGTTGTGCCGCGTTTTTTGCCGCATTTTTGATGCTTTCCGGGCCGTTTTTTTTTTAAATGGGCTTTCAGTGTGTTCCAGGGTGTGTGCATGCGTTTTTGATGCGTTTGCATGCGTTCCATAGCAGGCAAAATAGGGCTTGCTGCAGTTTTTTACCTGCTCTGGAACTGAACGTTGCGGTGTGAACTAGAGCCCAAAATACCATTGGAATACATTGGACGCGCTTGGTGTGAACAAGGCCTTAAACAAAATTTTCACCTAATAATAATATCTCAATTTGCGTAAGCCTCATGCTTGTAAGTTTTACTAGTTATGTAGTGCAACTGTGACTGAGGTTCCCACATTGAACATTTGAATTCAGCTGTAGGCAGTCTGTAATAAATAATTATAGACATGAAATATAGGATAATATAGATGCAGACAGTGCTGCTGACCATGCATTCCCAAGACCACAATTACTTGCATTGCAGTAACAGGTGAGTTGTTTGTTCACATACTGCTCTTACACAATGTTAATATATCTCCTTAATAACTCAAATTAGACAAAAACTAAACATTAGTAACACATATGTAAGTTTTGTACATTGGTTAATATTAACTTGCAAGTAAAGTCGCAGGTACCTAACTAACAGTGTTGGTTCTGCTCTCCGGCAGGACTTTTATCTGATCTTTCTCTGCTTCATTTCACCCTGGGAAACAGCCAGGGCATACCAACCCACTTCAGTAATCACCCAGTGTTAGACCAAAGCGCCCAACACATGTGCCTGAACTGGTGGATAGCATGAAAGCAGAAGCAGCATGGTTTACTCCTCACAGCTCCATGCACCTCTACAATGTTGCATCTCCTTCCAGAATCAGCACTCTTTTAAAACATCTCTACAGATATGCCTGAGGGCAAAATGATCCCCTCACCCTAAATGATTTTTTTTACAAGGGGAGGTGTGCGGCACTCTAAGCAGACTGCTCTGAAATATGTGTGAGGCTTAGCAAAACCAGAGCGTCTATATTGGCATATGCTATCAGTAAACAGCATAAAGAAATGACAATGTAACAAATAAAAAAGATGAGTGTTCATCAAAACAAATGAAAGATAAACGGTAAAGTAAATTCTTCCTTGTATGAAATAATTCTGAGCTTCTCTGTGTCCTTTGTAGAGCACCCTAGTTAAATGTAACCAACATATTAGTAGACCTTAGATACATGTACAGTATATTACAACTATATTCACCTTTCATTTCATATATTTTTATAAAGGTGCTTTACACATTACATGGTTGAGGGCTATTAACAATTAGCAGTGAGAAGAATCTCTGCAGCTGCTGTGGAACAAATGTAGTAAAATTTGCCATAATTATTAATTCAACATGAAGAATACAGTGGAGGCTTATTAAAGAAAGGGAAGAGAACCTAACACCTCTCTGCTCTCTTCTCCTTCAGCCCTCCTCCTTCCACCCATTGTATGCCACCATAGGAGGGAAAATTGAGCAGAACCTGACCCCTTCCTACTCTCTACTCCAGCACTCCTTCTTCCACCCATTGTATGCCACCACAGGAGAGGGCAGAGACCAGAACCCAACATCTCCCTGTTCCCTTAGCATTGTTAAAGCTTTCCCTGGAAATTTTCATTAGCTATATTTTAACCATTTGCTGACCGGGGTGTTTACACCCCCTTCCTGTCCAGGCCATTTTTCAGTATTCAATGCTGCGGTGCCTTGACTGACATTTTTCCAGTCATGCAACGCTGTACTCAGAGGCGGCTCTTTAATTAGGCGAGTTAGGCGGTCGCTTTAGGCCTCGCGCTCATGAGGGCCTCACAGCCGCCTAACTCGCCTAGTCTATAGCAGGGGAAGGCAGGAACTGTGGGCAGAGAAAAAAAAGTACTGCTTCGTCTGTCCCGACACCCGCGCTCCCCCACCGAGGCTGCACTACATATTCCCCTGCTGGGACTCCGCTCCGTCCGCAGTCCAGGCCGGCTTTACAAGT